TTTGGTTGAATCTGAACCACCAGCCTCAGGAGGCTTGGCTTTACTGAACTGTTCTGAGCTACTTATTACCAATGAGAAGTGACTACCAGTGAGAGTAAAGGATGCTGTTGACTGGGATATGACAGCATGGTAACATGCTGTCATATCCCAGTCAACAGCATCCTAGGAAATGCAGGCATAAAAGGGTCTCTTAGGCAACTGGACCTGGGACTGTCCTCTCGTGACCAACTGTCAGCTGCAATATGATGTGGGATGAACAAATTGACTGTTCCCATTTGCAGCGTGGCAGATGCCTCAAAAACTAAAATTAGCACTGAAACAAATAAAAACAACATTGAAATAAATCCACTCTCAAAACTGACTGAAACGAATATAGAATTAAAACTGAATGGAAAATAAAAACCAATACGGCTATAATAACAGACTACAATCACTGTAATTACATCAGTGTGCTGGTTAAAAGCCACTTGTTGTGACTTATGGTTTACTTTTCATATCTGGTATAAGTGATGACTCATTTGTCAGTCCTGCTTACAGACGGGTTTGTTCTGTGTCAAACAGAACTCTCATTGTGTCCTCTTTGCAGCCTGCATTTCTTTCTGTGTTGTATCATATCATAACGTAACCCCTGAACAAATCCTACCGTACAAGGAGGTTCACTCACCATTTATCTCTCCACAAGGACGAGGCTGTGTGACTTGCTTATTGTGGTCTGTTCTCAATGGACGTGTTTATTGTTGAGTCTGGAAACTAGCAGGTTTTACTGTTTATAGCAAGCTGTGTTCATTTCATGACCAAGCAGAAATATGTAAGAACACGTAAACTTGTGCATGCGTTCACTTTACGCTTCAAAAAAAAAAAAAAAAGGCCTGTAAACCACACTTACTTAATCAGCTCATTACTGTAAGTGTGAGTTTCATAAACATTATTTTTGCCAGCTCTAATAAACAGGGCGTGTCAATGCAGGTCATTATCTACCTACACCCCAGTTTTCCTAATACCCTCTATAAACAGCCACCTCTGAAACTACCTTTCCTTTAGGGAAAAGACATTTGAAGATATTCAGAATGCATTTAAACCTTTCCCCTTTTTTTAAGAAGAAAGACTTATGTGTAGACTCTCATGATGTGATCTGTTTTTAAGGTTAAAAAAAAAGTAGTTAGGTTCAGCGATGGTATAATAATTTCACATAGGATAGTTCAGTGTCTGCATGTAGCCTCCGAAACCAAAATTTCATTTTCAACCTCAGTTTTTCTTTAGAGTGGAAGAATAACTAAAACATCCTGAGAGATGGATCACCTGCATGAACATAACCATGTGACTGATTTAAGATGCCGAAAGATCATTACCAATTAGAGCTACTTTTTATAGTGGAGCTGATAAAAATAGCTACTCTCTGATAACTTCTGTATGAATAAAAATGTAATTAATTTACATCAGATTTGATCAAACTACTCCAAAAAGCATGTGAGGATCAAAGTTATTGTTATTTATTTATTTATTCTTTTTTTTTCTTCTTTTTTATTTTAGTATTTATTTATTTTTAGTACTCATGGCTCCGTAAAATGTCAGAGAGAGGACTCGGCCTAATAAGGTCATATCAGAAGCCCCACCAATTAAAAAGAAGTTTGGTCTTGAAGGGAAGCTAAAATTGCTTTTTTAGATTGATGTTAAACTGAGGGGCTGCACCAAGTACAAAAACAGGGAGCTGGAAGTGAGGATACAGGCACCACCTTTAATGTATGTTATCTGGGGCTTAACATAGAGAAAGTTGCACTGAAATGGCAGCAGGAATGTAGATCTTTCTGACTTGATCAGATAGCAGAAAAGTGAATTCATACACTACTCACAAGAATTAAAGGAACACTTAAAAAACTCATCAAAAAAATCATGCTGGATATCGATACTGATATGGGCGAAGTAGAAACGCCCCAGTCAGATGGTGGATTCAAATCCAAGACCTTCTTGGTGTGAGGAAGTTTTCGGACTTAAAATTTAAAAAAACTTGTATTTCTCATTAGCTAACATGGAGTTTTGTTATGCAGTGCAACTCCCTGTAAATTTCCAATCATACCCTGGTATTGCAGGACTGTATGAGACTGTTTGACCTTTTGTTAGCTTAAGGAAAATTAACTGTACCTAACAGCATGAATTTATCTTTTCTGTAATAAATATCTGGAGAGCGGTTAGACTTGTAAACGTCACATAATGTCTGACTGCCATATATATTATTCCTTGTGAAAAAGAGGAGGGAATTTTGGATTTATTATGCGACAGGGGAGCAGGATGTATGAGTAAAGGATCTGGGTATTGTCATTTCAGACGTTTCCTTACAAGGTCAGGTCTTATTGTTCATGTTGCACTTTACAGACTTCCAGTCCCACGGGACTCTTTCTGCTCGTCTGTGGTGAAGAATTTGCTTTGTTCCGGCTGTCTGAGATGGCATCTCCACTCAGTCATTTTCCAAGGCCACAATAACAAGTCTGTGTCTGATTTAGCTCACAACAGAGTGATAGTGGTACATTTACTGAGCCTCAAAGCTTCAATTTCAGCCCCATTTTGTCTATTTTCCATCCAGCTGCAGTCTGATTGTTGTGTAGAAAACTTGTGTTGAGGTTTTAAAATGTTAAAGTGACTCTTTCCTCATCACTAACACGGAGCCCTGATCTGTGTCTGTGTGTGTAACACCTTTGTTGTTATTTTAGGGATAATATTGGATAGTTGAACAGGAACCAGAAAGCTGTCAGGACCTGCTCCAGTTTACAGGTGTGGCCTCTGCACAGACAGCAGGAGGGAGGAGCTTGATGCAGTGAGCCATGTTTCTTTGTTTTGTTTTTTTAGGTTTTTTGCATGCGGTGACTAATTTGAGATAGTGAGCATAATGTCAAAGGGGAGAGGCTCGTCGCAAGTCACACGAGAATCACAAAGGTGTGGTTACGTGTGGGAAAAGCATCTCGTATTTGCACACGCCTCGACAAAACAAACGTGCTTCAGCGTCAGCGTGCGGCGTGCAGAAATCTCTCTGGTTTTCCAGAAAAACACATTTTGGTCTACTTCAAAAACACAATAAGGGTGTGAGCTGAGCTAAAGCTAAATTGCACCTTCCATCCACAATTTGTTTTAAACTTGCCAGCACTAACTACAGCATGCAGTCAAACACTATAATTCTCCCACACACTGCATTTGCATGAGCGCCAACATGTTATTGTTGCTGTTTGTGGAGTCTGAAATACAAAATTAGTCAAGTTTAGTCAAAGTCCTGCATGAAAGTTTCGGATCTTAAGTATTAATTTGTGCTTTTTTTATGGCCCACTGAGTTTAGTTTGTTTTTAATTTTATTTCCCTTGTAACTTATGGTTATTTTGGCTTTTATTTGGGTATTATTATTTTTTACTATCTTTTCATTCTTATATAATATGGGCGCTAACTCTCACTTGTTGCCAGCCTTACATGGCCACTTGAGGAACTCTACTTTTTCAGTCATTTTTCTGCATCCGGTTTAGTTAACAATACTGGTCGGAGTCTAAATTGAAATTGCTTGTCTTTGGTAACCTATTTTTCATTCAGATAGCAAATTGTTTAAATTGAAAACAAGACAGTGACATGATACCAGAACGATACGTAATATTGAAATTGTGGTGCTATAAAAAGGTGTGCAAAAGCATTATCAGTGGTACAGTTTTACACTGAGTATAAAATAGTTGCATAAAGTATAAAATATAAGCTCAAATGAAGTGCTTATGTATGTTCTTGGTCTTTAGGACTATATAGTAGGGACTGTTAAGAAGTTG